TCTCCCCCCTTTATCTGCCATCCATTTACACATACTCGTACGACAGGTCACTCACTGCTTTTCCTTGTCTCTCTTGCCTTTAATATGGCATACAATATCCTCAAAACCCTATTTTCTTAGTTGCCCCTGAAATTTCAACTAACACTTTTTTGTAATCGTATCCATCCCGTACAAGGCCTAAGAGCCACTCGAGATAGAGGGTTATAGAGTAAGAGGTACAGTTTATGGGGGTATGTGGAGAAGATAACGGGTAAACCTAGATTTGAACAAGTTTATTCTAGCGACAGGGAAGCATCCTCTTGGAAGTTGGTTCCACAAAGTCGCGGTTCGTTACTCGAATGGAACTTACATCTGGACAGTGGAATACGAAAAGATGTTGACCGCCACATCATCTGCATCAGAATTTCTAATGTTGTGTAGGACAAACAACTTCCCAGCGTTTTCAAAGCTGTTATTATCTGTAATGGGATTGTAATTGTAATGGCGCTGTCGTATGGTTGAAGGTTTCGTCAGACGAAAAAAAAGTAAATTTTTTAAAATACAGGCATCTTGACGAGAAAGTCACAAAAATGTGACACATGAGAGAGATCAGTGATTTCAATTGTAGTTGGAGTAATTTGCTTCATTGGAAAAGGTTCTGATAAACGCATTGAAGGGGTTCGTGGTGGCTCATGCCTTAAAGAAATACAAAAACTTGTACTCACAAGCCAGCTCACACATTACGAAGAGATTTATCTATGTAAAACGTGTGTGATATTATTGTTTTTTTTTGTGGTTTTTACAAAAATGATCCGTGGAAAATGTCATTTAACTATTTCTGACCTTATGTCTTTAGCTGGGATACGGAGGGGAATTTCTGTACAACAGAAATCAAAGGAAATAATAATAATAATAATAATAATAATAATAATAATAATAATAATAATAATAATGTAGCACATGGCAACATCAACAATCCCCGTTGGAGCCCTCGGATTGGTTGGAAAAGATTCCAGTAGACTAATTGAAAGGATTCCTGGAAGCCCATGCTTCAAAGAAATACAAAAAAATATTCTCACAAGTACAGTTCACACTTTACAAAGGGCTTTATCTATGTAAAATATTTTTTGGCAGTGGAAAATGTCATGATGCCATTTCTCACTTTAGGTCTCTAGGCGAGACCCGGAAAGAAATGAGTACACGCTAGAAATCAAAGGAAATAAAAATAATAATAATAATAATAATAATAAGAAGAAGAAGAAGAAGAAGAAGAAGATTCAAACTGACAGAGAAATATAAAAAAATAAAGGCCAAAAGACCTGATATTGTCATAAAAGACAAGACATTAAGGAGGTGTATGCTTACTGACATATTAGTGCCATCTGAGTGAAACACGTCCATGAAAATTATCGAGAAATTGTCCAAATACAAGGACCTGGAAATCGAGATTAACAGGGTGTGTGAAATGAAGACTGAGACTGTACCAATAGTAATCGGAGGACTGGGCCTCGTGAGAAAAGGAATGAACAGTTTTACTAACAATGTCGCAAATAATGTCATCATAAATGTTGCCAAGAAGATCGCTCTACTAGGAACATTCAATTTACTAATAAAAGCGCTATCAGTTAAACGACAATTCTTCTATAGAACCTAAGGACCATAGTTTGGACAGAGATCTCCAAAATCCAAAGCAGAAAATAAAAGACGCAAATAATAATAATAATGAGAAGAAGAAGAAAAAGAAAAAGAAGAAGAAGAAGGATGACGAAGAGGAGGATAAGGAGAAGGAAGAAGAGGATGATGAGGAGGAGGATAAGGAGGAGGAAGGGGAGGATGATGAGGAGGAGGAGAAGGAGAAGGAAGAGGAGGAGGAGGATAAGGAGGAGGAAGAGGAGGAGGAGGATAAGGAGGAGGAAGAGGAGGAGAAGGAGAAGGAAGAGGATGATGATGAGGAGGAGGATAAGGAGGAGGAGGAGGAGGAGGATGAGGAAGAGGAGGAGGATGAGGAGGAGGAGAAGGAGGAGGAAGAGGAGGAGGATAAGGAGGAGGAAGAGGAGGATGATAAGGAGAAGGAAGAGGAGGATGATGAGGAGGAGGATAAGGAGGAGGAAGAGGAGGATGAGAACTTTAAAACCTCCAAACAAAAAATGCCTTCATTTAACCACCACAGAGAATATATTCTGCCTGCCATCGGCATGATCGACGCTGAATTTCAGTGCTTGGCTTGGCGCGAAAAATGGATTACTGTGTCGTATCAGAATTTTTTTTTCCGTCAGAATCCATCTTGCACATTTACAAATCTAACATTCGTCCGTGCACTTAATGCTGTGGCCATATCTGGTCTGGTGATCCCGCCGTACATCCAGAGATTCTTGACAAAATCCAAAGAAGGATCTGTAATGTATTCTATCCGGACTACGGCATCACGACTTCAGTCACTTTCTCAACAACTTCATGTAGCTTCCTCTCTGTCATTTCTACAAATATTTTAATGGCGACTAGTCTGACGTTCTTTTCTTCCTCTGGTAAAAGTATTCAATGCACGGACGAATAGATTTTTAACTTAATTGTATCTATATAAATATTTAGACTCATCAACTGACTCTAGAAAGTGAAGCTAGTCACTCCTTTGGAGGTTAGCATTAGCCAAAGATCAAAAAAGTTCACTTAGATTAGTGTTTCTCAACTTTTTTAAGCAATGGCACATCTCGGAACAAATGAAAATATCACGGAACATTTAACAAAATTTTTAAAGGGTATACATATATATATATATATATATTTATATATTATAAAATAAAACCATAGATCTAAAGTAAATGCACACACAATTATGAACTGCTTTTATTTCCATGTTTCTATTCAACTTTTGTACAGGTTATTAAGTGTGAAACTTGTGCCTGGTGTTTTTTAATGATTTCTTCAATGTCTGGTCAAATATGCAAAAGCAGACCCTCTTTCTCGCTTTTCGTTGTTGATGTGATTAAGTGATGAGAAGCTTAATTCAATAAGAAGTAAAAAACTGCAATAAAATATTTAAATAGTGTGGGATAAAAAAGTTTAATACATATTCATTTATATTGTCATTCACAGACAGACTGTTTCGCTGTATGCCATCTCATCAGTGTGGCTAGAAATCCGATTGCTTCAAGCCGGGATCGAAATGCGATTGATTTGTCATCAGTCGGAGATTTTACCCCTGAGCTATCATCGCCCGTTTCAGAGAACGCTGTACGATTACTAATTTCACCACACACACACATATATATATATATGTTAAGAAATGGACAAGGTCCGACAATTTATTTATTAAAGACATTTTTTTTATGTTTAACGTTGTTATTTTATAGATACAAAACATTTAAGCAAATGCTCTGTTTAAGATAAACAGTATTAAATAACATTTACAGGCCTGAATGTCGAGAAATTTTCATTCAGGTTCGTTTCGTTCATATGAACGAATTTTATCCTAAAATATATCCTATACGGAACTGTCATATACGTTGACATGCCAGACCATTCATATTATATACCTTATATAAAACAAGGTCGAAATTTATTTTATAAAAACAATCTTCCATGAATCTGTACATTCACCTGCTCTATTTCTATCGAATTAAACAAATGACGTCATATGTTTACATTCGGATAAGCCCGACAATTTATTTATTAAAGAGATTTTTAAGATTATGTTTAACGTTGTTATTTTATAGATACAATAAGGTTCAAATTTCTATTTAAGGCAAACAGTATCAAATAACATTTCCGTATAGAATGTCAGAATCCTGTTTTCAACGAATATTTTCGTTCATGAAAATTCGAACCTGCATTCATATTAATAATGTTATATATTTGTTTATCTTAAACAGAGCATTTGCCTAAATACTTGTATCTATAAAATAACAATGTTAAAATATAAATAAAAAATGTCTTTAATAAATATATATATATATATCGTGATCAATATTTCCCGGCACATTGAAGAGTAAAATATACGTGGCACAAAAAGTATGCAGCCACACCGATGGGAATCACTGTCTTAGAGGATTAAAAGTAAGCAATTTAGTTTTGGAAGTGTTAAAATAATCAAGCCATTGCTTGCCCCAGTTAACAACACATTCATGGTCTTTTTCTAGATCACTTTACAAATTTGATCGTATTGATCGTACCAAACCATTTTTACACATTTTAGCATTCAATTACATTCTACGCCAATATATATATATATATATATATATATATATATATATATGTTCGTAAATATATTAAATTGTGTAGAATGTATATGATATCATAAAGAAGTAATTACACAAAGAATTAATTGGCAATGTTACTGTGATTAACGGCGAAATCACTTCGCTAACAAGACTTAATTAGATATTAACTTACTATCAATTCCTTGAATAACGGGATCAAAATTCCCATTTAAATCATTTAGAGAAGGACTTGAGCGGCATCCGAAATAATATAACTGACATTAAATAGCATATTTTTTTAAATCTCTTTCGGACTACAGTACTGGTGATTTTTTTTTAATTTAGTAATGTGATAAATCTATATATATATATATATATATATATATATATATATATATATATATATATATATATAAAAAAATCAAAAATTCGCTTGAAGATGAAATGAACTAATGTTTTAATTTAATTATATAATTAAATTTGAAGTTTTTAAACTTCGGTTTTTTTGAAACATCGACATGCCTGTGTAGCGAAGAAACTATATTTTAAATCAGTTAATTTATAATATTTATGCTCTGTAAATTTATATTGAACAGTTTTTATAAAATAAAAAATATCAATAATAACACCGGATTATATATCTTACTTTTCTTTTTTTATTATTATAATATATATATATATATATATATATATATATATATATATATATATATATATATATATATATATTGTTAATACATTCACAGACACAAAGAACATCCTCGTCTACATAAATATATTAATAATTTCGAACCATAAACCGTTACATCATCCGCATATCCAATATTACGGCACCTGATATTCCAGTCCCCAGCGATCACCCACCTAGTTACTGACTAGGCTTGACGTTGCTTAATTACGGTGATCGTACGGGAGCCGGTGTTTTAACGTGATGTGGCCGTAAGCCTTAAATGTTTTGTAACCTGCCATATTGTTTGGTGTGCTTTTGCATTATGATAACGTAAGAGAGGCAAATGGCAGACAGGCCATCACAGCGCATGGTCGATCAACCGTTCCTCGTCAACCTTACACTTGAGGAACCCCGTTTAAAATTGTAGAAAAATTTCACTAAATTTAAGTAATATCACTAAAAATCTCAATTCTGAGCAAACACCGGCTCACACAGAAATTGTCTACACTTTGTACACAAAGTCGGCTCCAGATTCAAATTTATTAACCAATCAGAAGCGTTATATCAAACGCGCTTAAAGATTTGAAATTTCAGACGACCATTTTTATTGTCTGCTACGAAATTTAAAGCTCACTCTAGAAAATGATCAACAATATTTTCACTCGTAAAATAGAGTAGCAGAAACGAAATGCTGACGGAGCAGTGGCTCGCTACTGATAAAGATACTTTCCCCCATCGTTCAAAGAGACAAATTTTAGTGTAGGAGAAAAGGAAACTGTACATAGAATAGGCTGTCCCAGTGGTAATTTTTCCAAACACCGCAAAACAAAGACATTATCATGAAAGCTAGAGTCATATTCTTAAAAACCTCATCAGATCGAGATTTTCATATGGAGATGATGTAATATCTAAACTACCAGCTGTATACAACCGCTTCCTAGGATCAATAGAGAAAAAGGCCTTGAACGAAGGTCGCGTGAGGGTCCTTCTTTGAAGATTGTGAACTGGCGCTATATAATCCCAAACAAAGAACTGTAAAAAATAACAGATACCACATCAGTTGAGGACTACCAACATCGGCAAGAACTTAAGTGGGTAGCACATGTAACTCAAAGAGAAAATAATAACATAACGAAGATGTAGATATTCCCCACTACTTCAAAAAAAGGTTAGAAAGGAAACCCCCATCAATACTGGAAAGAGCAATAACAGTTACTGGCATTGAGAAACCTGTTTTTTTTTATTTTTTAAAAAGTGTTTTTAAGAGAAATATGTTTTTAAATTTCAACAGAAAGCAGTAATGGCGGCCCGGTTAATGTTTCTTTGTAAGGAAACTGTTAATATTACTATTATCATTAAATCTATTTTAATTAAAGTAGATCAGCCATTACTTTTTGACTGATACTCATTGATGGACTACATGGTGTGATTACCAGACAACACTTTGCTGTAGATTAAATCAGACTTGACCTTGACATCATGTTTTAAATGTTAGTGTTGGTAACCAATTGACTGATCTTCGATTTCAATCCGCGGCGCTTCGATTGCACTGTGGCATCTTCAGTTTAAACAGTAACCCTCTAAGCGATGTATGGATTTATTTGGTTACAAACTCTTAATAGAATTCTACAGATATTTCTAACGTTTCTTTCTCATGTATGCACAAAGGACATGGGCCATTTAATGACCTAAATATTCGGTACATATTCGGTACCGAAATCAGACGCCCCTATCGAAATACTTCTGGCACCTAAAAGAATCAAATAAAACACCTACAGTAAAATGGAAGTTAATAAGAAAAGCTAGAATATGTAGGTCATTAAGTGACCCATGTCCTTTGTGCATACATGAGAAACTATATATTACTAAGTTTATAAAAAATAAAAAATTACTGAATGAAAGAAATGAAATAGCTATTCTTTGCCGACATTGTCAAAAAATGTCCTTGAATAATATTTAAAAATAAAATAAAATAATTTAAAAAATGGGAACGGGTAGAATACATACTTATATTTGTGTTGTAAACTAGTTTTAACAGTGGAGGCTTGTATTTCAATAAGTCGGTCCTAAATTAGGTCCGACGTACAAAACGTTAGGAACTTGCAATAATAGTTAGTGACGCAGCAATGTAGTTGTGATGGTTGATACTTCAATGTCCGACATCGACTGACTCACTCAACTCCACTGAGCCCAACTGGCGGCTGCTACTACTTATCTGTGGGAGAATCTATCGACAACAGAAATATGTACGTTCCGGTATAACAATTTGATATGTAATAATAATTTTTAAATAATTTAAGTAATTCTATTACATTTATTTGTTTTAAAAAGAAATATAATCTATTAGTAATTAAAAGTAAAAATATTATTTTAAAATTGTAGTTCAATACAAAGTATTCTAATCCAAACATCCCTTTTAGAAAGAATCATTATGTATACAAGTACGAATTTAACAAAAAAATGCCTTTACTATGCGATTAACTTTTTAAACACATTTTGGAAGTTTTATTTATTTTAGTCTGTTTTTTTTTTTTTACGTTTTGATAATTGACTTCAATCTCGTGCTAAGAAAATCAAATTCTGACCGCTCTTCTCCATATTTCAACCAAGACATCTCACCTTTCCTTTTGATAAGGAGGCAAACTATGCAATAGTTTTCAATTAAATTCAGAGATGCTCCACAAATCCGAACACGGAAATGCTATCAGTCACGCAAAGAGTACGGATTTCTTTAAAAAGTGTTTATTAACACACCCTAAAAATAATTTGGGCATTTCATGAAACAGCAGAAACTTCTAGACAGTTTCTTTTCTTTTTGGTGCACGTGAATTGTCATACGCTCTGGTGAAGTAACGGGCCGTCTCACGGGAGATCTCGGCGAGTCGAGATCAAATCCCAGTTGAATTTCTTAGATTCTTCTCATTAACCAGCAGAATCTTTATTCTAGGTGTTAGCGCCTTTATGTGCCTAAGGCAGATGTTCTCAACCAGAGGTAAATTTACCCCTAGGGGGTACAAAATTATATAGTCGGGGGTAAATAATTGAAGTACCTGATAATTAAAAAAAAAACGCCTGAAAACCGATGATGATATGAGAGTTATATTATCAGAAACAGCTCCTCGCGTAAACAAAGTGATTGACTCAATTAATCAGCAATGTTCCCATTGATAATGCTTCTGGTGTTTCTGTTCATTATTTTTTGTAATACAAATAAACTTCATAATTTTCTATTTAGAAAAGGTTTGATTTTCTTCTTCTTTTTTTGATACCAATGTATAATACTATTTTTATACAAAACCTAAAGTCCTAAACAATAAAAAGGTTCTTTCTGACCTTCTTGTTTTTCTGTCACTTTATGGCATTGATGTACAAATGAATGATGGATTACTAATTTTGTGATCAGAATACTGAATTTTTACTAGTTTCAATATTTGTCAGTATTTTTTATTTCTGTTTTGGTATTTTTACTAATGACTAATTTGCACAATTTTTAGTCACAAAATAGTACTAATCATAATCATTCATTCAAAAAAATTTTTTTTTAGTATTTTCCAAAAATTTTTTAAATTGCCAAAAACAAAAATACTAAAAAAAAATTTTTTTGAATGACTGATTATGATTAGTATTAATTTGTAGATCTACTAATACAACCGATAAAATGAATAATTTTTTTTTATTAATGACAAACGTTAACAAAAATACTGAATTTTATACAGAGTACTAACTTATACTAAAAAATTAGTAGATTACTACTAAATAAGAAATCAGTATTTTGAGTGTCGCTTAGTATTTTTTTAGGCACAGTATTTTGACTAAAAAACCCTTAGTATTTTGAATGAAAAAATCATTCATTCATTTAGTCACGAAATTGTACATCAATGCTTTATGATGGCTATGAATTTTTTGTATGGGATTAGGGGGGGGGAAGGAGAAATACATAAAGCCGAGGGGGGTTCAATGATGGAGGAAAGGTTGAGAATGGCTAGCCTAAGGGATAGTAACCCGGAACGAAAAATCGGCGATCTGAGATCGAATCCCAGTCAGGTTTCTTACTTTCACTTTCGTGTTAATACCTGTGTAAATTTTATCATTCTGTCTTTTATCCCCAACCCAGATATTTGGATAATTCTGGCTCATCATCTCTCATTGGCAACACACCTAAGAGAAGGAAAACTCTGAATGCCTTAACCCGACTAGATGGAACTTCTTAGTGTGGAAACACGTGGTCGCCTAAAAAAAGAAAAAGTCCGACTGAAACTCAATCGTTCCTCATAATAGAGAGTTTAGGCGTAGGCTTATTTAACCACACGCTGTTGAACAATTTCATTAGAGAAAACTTCCCAAGGGCTTTACATGCCACGAGGCTTCCATCAGATTTCAAGGTATAAAGAACATGTTTTGAATTGCCCATTGTCAACAGAAAAAGACTTTATGATTCATGTTGCTTAACAACATAGAAAGGTCACTGTTGAACAGTGCGAGTCGTATCCACAAAATTATTATTTAATTCATCGAGGGAAGCCACTTTTAATCTACTCTTCCCAAGATTCGCAGAAAATAAGAAAAAACAGCACCAACCTACAATAATAAAGCCAAAACTGCAAACTCTGACTTTAGGAGAAAATAGCTATAATCACCTTCCCAGACCAAAACAAATTATTAGATAAACAATCAGAACTCATCTCAAAATGCAGACACGAGAACAAATTTGTACAACGTTACTTGTAAAATACCACCTTGAAAAATGCAAATGTATGCACTACACGGATTAATATTATTAATAATAATAATAATAATAAAAACCAATACGTTAAACTAATAAATAATCTTCGCCAAGGCCACGCCCCCCATTTTGTTATGAAATAAAAAATGGAAAAAAAAAAAGAAATAAAATAAAATAAAATTCTAAATAAATAAACAAATTAAGGAAAATAATAAACAAAGTAACAAACTAAGAACTGGTACATAACCATAAGCAAATTTAATAATAGTAACAAAAATCAAATAATTAAGCAAGCAATAATGAGGAAAACGTTAGCAGCACTATAAAATAGCAAAAAATAACTGCATTCGGACCAACAACCTATATCTCAATAGCCTCCCTAATAATTTAAAATATACCTGTTACCGCTATTAATAAGCGTTAGGATAAGACGATAGACTATATTACCGACATTACACCATTGACCAGCATATATAAATAGTCGCACCAAAATACAACACAAAGGCCTGGAGATTGGCTTCATGCATGAAACTGACTGTCGCCGTTTGAT